AAACGAAAATTAATCAACAAAGCTTTTTATAAATTTGAGGACTACTTAAATGATCCTAATCCTTGGGATTGAATTGCTCCAGTTCAAACAATTTGTATGACAATACTTGGCGATTAAAAAGAGTGGCGGAAAGTTTCTTGCCAGTTCTTCTTACCCGCTCTACGCCCTTGACTTGCGAACTGGTAGTAAATGTAAATTTACGATTAATTTAACTTGACGATTCAAAAGTGTACTTGGTTACCTACTTGAATAAAGATATTTTGAGTTTGAGTTTGAGTTTGAATTTCAGGCCATAAATTTGTAGATTTAGAATTCACCGCTGTTTTTTAAGAGATCAGAAATACTTCTTTTTTTAAAAGGGAATAATAAGTTTAAGTTTTGTTTTGAAAGCTAAAATTTTATAGATTTTAAAAATTCATTAATCAAAAGACAGTTGGTCATAGTCATTATCACAAAATAGTGATATGAATATCTTTGAACAGCCCTTGTATATCATACTAAATGTGCTTGTTTATTCCGCTGTACCTTATGAATAATACACTATATGCATTTATTTGCACACAATCACACACAATTTAACACAATCTCTCAGCCCTTTTGTAACATTCTATCCAAAAAATAACACCATTTCAACACATAACTAAGTAACATACACACATACATACACATAAAATAAATCCATTGAAAATTTATTCTTTGGTAAGTCACCAATGCAGTTCACAATGACCCAGAAATAGTTTAGCCTACATACCTAATAAATATGTTGTACAAAGGACAATACAATTTCTCCTTTTCAAGAACTGCAAAGGCTAGTCTAATTGTGTCTAAATATAATTAATAAAAATGTATTTACATATTTAAATCGTATCCAAAAACCAGCTAATAATCTCGTCTAACACGGTTGACAAATATAAGATTCTGATCGAGCACATAAGAAGTAAAGGGCTTATAGGTCACACATTTACACGCAAAGACCAAAAATGCATGAGGATTGTTATTAAACATCTTCACTTCAGCACACCTAAAGATGCCATTATAGAAGCAGTAGAAAAAACTGGAAACAAAGTACAAGGAGAAATAGTTACTGCCCGGAAACAAGGAACCAAAGAGCCACTAAATACATTTTTTGTCAATGTGGCTCCACATGAAAATAATAAATTTGTCAAAGAAATTAAAGTCATATACAACCAGAAAGTCACGATAGAAGACCCAATAAGAAAAATGACAGTGGTACAATGCAAAAGGTGCCAACAATATGGGCACAGCAAAAATAACTGTATGAGGCCTTACAGATGCGTAAAGTGTGCTGGGGCACATAAAACTACTACGTGCACAATAAATGATAGCACTCCAGCAGTATGCGCACTATGCTCAGGAAGCCACCCTGCTAGCTACAAAGGATGCCAGGTGTATAGGGAAGTCCTAGCAAGAAAGAAAATTGGAAACAAGGTTCAGCCATATCTAAAATCAAGAACCACTCTGGAAGTGCGGACTAAGAACTCTGAAAATAATGAGCCCCCTAATGACATGGATGTGATAGTCATTGAGCCTGATAATCACTCCAAGACTACCCAACCGAAACATCGGCTACCAAGCGTAAAAGAATCCCTGGGACCCTATAGTGAAGCTCCCAAAAATTCAACCAAATCTGTAGCATACCATACAGAGACACAAAAATCATACACGAGAGATAACACTGACCAAACGGAACGACAGATACACAGGAAAGACAAAGTTGACCATATAGATTCACAGAGAACAAATACAGAAAACCACGTTGACCATGAGTCACAAAGAACATACCTGAGAAAAATAGAACTCGGGCAAGAAAATAGATTCAGTCTAGAAGCACTTATAGTGAAACAGACTGAAAGAATCGATCAACTCATTTCACAACTGAGCACAATGATGAACCTCATCATGACAATCATCAGTAGGCTTCCACAATGATGTCGTTACGTATCGCTACCTGGAATATCAATGGCCTAACGCCAAATAAAAAAGAATTAGAAATAATGTTAAAACATAACAAAATCGACATTGGTTTAATATCTGAAACCCACCTAAATGACCGTAAGAATATTAAGATAGACAACTATGACGTATATTATACTAACCATCCCGTTACCACAACACACGGAGGATCAGCAGTAATTGTAAAGAGTAACATCGGACACCACCTCCATAGCGAGTTTCGGGAAGACTGGATGCAAGCCACTACCATCACTATAAATGCAAGCATGGGCCCCATTAATGTAAGCGCTGTATATTGTCCACCAAAGCATAAACCGAAACAACACATGTTTGACCGCTATTTTCAAAGCTTGGGAAACAGATACATAAGTGGTGGGGACTGGAACTGTAAACACACTCATTGGGGATCAAGATTGACAAACAGCAAAGGACGTGAGTTGAAAAAATGTGTCGATAAACACAAACTTATTACACTGGGAACAGGTAAAACCAACTTATTGGCCAACAGATGTTAACAGAATACCCGACCTAGTGGACTTTTTTGTGGTGAAGGGACTGTCTGATGTGTATTTTGACGTGGCATCATCGTCTGATGGTGGGTCTGACCACACCCCTATCATAGCAACATTTAGCGTTTCCGCTATACATAGAGCACAGAGACTGGCGCTATATAATCATAAAACAGACTGGGACGCATTTGCTGAATACTTAGAAGATGAAGTTGAACTAAAGGTTAGGCTCAAAACAGAAGAAGATATAGATGAGACAACATTCTACATCACGAATCTCATACAAGTAGCTGCGTGGCGTGCCACCCCGACACTGAGCTCCTCCAATCAATTAGGTAACATACCACTGGAAATACGCAACAAACTGGAAGAAAAACGGAGACAAAGAAGGCGATTACACACCAGCAGATCAGATGTAGACAGGTCGGAATTCAATAGAATATCTAGAGAACTAAAAGAGTTAATTAAAGAAAATCAAAACACAACCTTCCAAGAAAAACTCTGTACACTCTCGGCTCATAAGAAGGATAATTACTCACTCTGGAAAATAACTAAGAACTTTAAAAGACCACATAACCATATACCACCTATAAGGATATCTACGAACGATCCGTGGGCTAGGAGCGGCAGTGAAAAAGCTGAACTTTTCGCTAGACACCTAAGCGAAGTCTTCAAACCAAACCAATCATCCATGACTGAGTTTGAAGAGGAAGTGGATAGAATGATCAACAGTGACCAGCAGTTATCACTACCGCTAAAACTTGTCACTCCACAAGAATTAATGCGCACAATAAGCTATCTGGAAAACAAAAAGGCTCCTGGTTTCGACCTAATAACGGGTGAAATCCTTAAAAAACTACCTAGAAAAGCAATAGTACTTTTAACAATGTTATTCAATGCCATTTTTAGAATACAAGTACTACCCAAAGCTATGGAAGATATCACAAATAATTATGATTGTAAAGCCAGGGAAACCCCCAACACAACCTAGCTCATACAGGCCTATAAGTTTTCTCCCAACAATATCTAAGGTTTTTGAAAAAACTCTTCTGCGGAGACTAAAACCAGTCCTGGACCAAAACGGAATTATACCCGATCACCAATTTGGTTTCCGGGAAAAACATGCTACTGTAGAACAAGTACACCGAGTGGTTCACAAAATAAGACAATCGCTAGAGAAAAAAGAATATTGTTCAGCAGTATTCATAGATATTCAGCAGGCATTCGATAGAGTTTGGCACAAAGGATTGTTGTACAAGCTGAAAACCCTCCTACCAAACTCATTCTATATGATCCTAAAATCTTATCTAGATCAAAGAAGATTCCAAGTAAAGTATGAGGAGGAACTTTCAAGGCTCTATTACATCACTGCCTCAGTTCCACAAGGATCAGTGCTTGGCCCAGTCCTTTATTCAATATATACGGCAGACTTGCCTGAAACAGAAAATGTCGTAACAGCAACATACGCAGATGACACTGCATGCCTTGCAAGCGATGTGAACGCGAATAACGCTTCACTGAAACTACAGGAACAGCTCAATAAGGTGAACGTGTGGCTGCAGAGGTGGAGAATCAAGCCTAGCATAACTAAATCAATACAAGTAACATTTACACTGCGAAAGGGCGACTGTCCACCTGTGCATATAGAAGACAAACCGTTACCAAGCAAAAACAGCGTGAAATATCTCGGACTACATCTGGACAGAAGACTGACCTGGGCTAATCATATAAAAGCCAAGAAAACAGAAGCCACCTTGAAATTCAAAGAGCTATCCTGGCTTCTAGGCCAGCAATCTAGGCTGACCCTGAGTAACAAATTGCTTGTGTACAAGGCCATCATACAACCAGTGTGGACATATGGAATAGAACTCTGGGGCTGTGCAAGCAATTCTAACATCGAAATCCTCCAAAGATTTCAAAACATTGCACTGAGAACTATTTCATGTGCACACTGGTTTGTGAGAAACACGGAAATACACGAATATCTGGAGATGCCAACCGTAAAGGAAGTAATCCGCAAAAACAGTAGTAGATACAGGGAAAGGTTAACCAAACATACAAATGAACTGGCTAAGAATCTGCTAACCCCAGGAGATGATGTAACTCGCCTAAAAAGATGGCAAATACTAGACCTAGACCAGAGAAACTGACCTACAATAAAAATCCAGTTTCTACCAACACTTACGGTGCCTTTCAATGGAATCGCACCCAACCAAAATTAACCTCAGAAAATATCTGATTATGGCTGATAGCCGATTGCAGATGAACAAGAACACAAAAAAAAATAAAAAACATATTTAAAAAATCAATATTATCCATTTCCATATTCTGGCACTTTGCTGTTACAAATCAAAACACTCCAATTGAAAGCATCATAAGGTATGTAACATCTACGAAGGAAATAGTTTGATTGCCATCAAGTAGCCTTTGTTAGTAATTTAAACTGATGTTAATTTGGTATTCAAGCTGAATACACATAGTTTTAATTTAAAATCAGAAATGAAATTAAATACTTACGTAGTTTCTTCGATCCACTGATACATTTGAACTCGTTTTCTGAGCTTGACAGCTTGGACTTGTATATTATAATCTGGTTCAGATATTGGCTCTAATATTCTTATAGGTCCTACGACGTGTACAACTTGACCCTCATACCTCTCTGGATCATCAATCGAATGAACATCTATAGTCTCTGCTGCTGATACAAGCTCTTCTAGCATTAGGTTGTTTTGAATTGCATGACCCTAGAATAATGTTCAAAGTTAGTTATATATTTACTAGTTACCTACATAACACATTACACTATATCTGTATGCATTTAGTACTTTCTCCTACGTTGTGATATTGATGTAGCTAAACTCTTATTATATACTTTCTAGTTTATCACATAAAAATATAATTGATAACCGAGTTACAAACGCTTATGAATCGTTTTTTAACAGCTCTACTATTTTTAACAAACTCACGATAAAAAAAGACTACTTTTGTAAATTATAAATGGTTTTGTTTACATACCTCAGCCCAAACTAAAAAATAAGTAACTCCACTAAATAATATACAACTCATTAAAGTCGTAAGCCAAGTTTGTTTAAAATGATTACGAACAGCTGACCAATCCATCTGTAATAATAAATTATTCTTTATAACATATAACATATATATTGAAATTCAAATAAAATGTTATTAAATTTACAACCTATTATTTTCTGTTATAAATTTTTGTATTTATCTACCTTTAAATGATGGAGTTGTATCTATAAAAAAATCTTTTTCAATTTTAAATCTTAATTCTCATTTATTTGTTAACATGATCGCTTATTTTCCAATTATAATTCCAACAAGAGAATTCAATGAAGATTGAAGGGGTACCGGCTTACAGCTAAAGCATAAATTCTTATTTATTGCCATAGACGTTTATTACACACAAATTACTTATCATAAGTCGAGTATGTCAATAATTAGATAATGATGACAGCAGTCAGCCGTCAAAATAAAAATACAATAGTCGTAGACGGACTATGGTATAGACCAGGCATCAGCGTACAACGTGTAAGATAGCGAATGATTAACATATTATGTCGTATTTACAGCTTTATTATTAACAGTTTTTTTTATTTTTTCATTGCTTATTATTGATCAAAATACACATTCGAATGAATAATTCTTGAACAAAGTTACTGAGTCGTGACAAAATAAGCTACTTACCGATGAAAGGTTGTTTGGTTCTTTACGTTCACTATAGCTTTTACAGCCAATTATGCAACAATTCACCATGACTGATGCTTTAAAATATACACCTCTTATAAGGTTAAAGTCGTAAATTAATATGGGTTTGACTTGCGTTTCACAGATTTATGACAACATTGTGGCAATGTGGCAAATTGGTGACATTTTGTTTACCTCCAAGCGTTCGGAGGTAAACAAATAAAACTGATACTTTGTTTCGCTCGCACTTAAGTATTTCACGTTAATGCCTTCTCTCTTTAGTTATTATTGTAATTTTAGAAGCTCATCTAGTTATATACTCTATCTACGACAATAGTCAGGCTATTCAGAGAATGGATGCAGTTAAAAAAATATATATTCCAAGAAGTAATCTGTGTGTAAAGTTATTAGATTTTTATTTTTATGCTGTGCCCTCTGGGCAAGTGATAAAATAGTAAACAAATTATGAACATAAATAGTAAAAAGAAAAATATTTAAATAAGTAAGCATTAAACAAATGCAATGACTCCTAATTAAATGTATTAAGTAGTTACCAGTATAACTCTTATGTATATGCCAAATTTTATAATATTAAACTACTATGCTAAGATAACCTCTTGGATGTTATCCAATAATTATACATTCATACAAGTTATAGTTCACGTTTAGTCAAAAAAAATTTTATAGTGATTATAAAATGATATCAAAGAAGTGTGTTATTTACTTTGCTAAAACCTCGTCAAGACTAGTAACATCAAATATCGATAAAAGAAATTACTCTCAAAGTAATGATGTTCCATTTCTAAAATTTTACAAAAATCTAATGGGTAAGTTGTAAGCGCATTTCGTTTGATTTATGATAATTGTTATTTAAATATCATAACATGAAGGCCAAATTATGCTACATATTTAAGTTTGCAGCAGGTACTTAACTGGGAAACCCGTGCCAAAGAACCTTTAATCTTCCCACAGCATAGTTTATAACACAAAAAATTTAAAACAACACAGGACAATTTTGTTTTCAGAGACAATATTTTAACTAATTTTGTATTCAAAAGTATTCTATAAAATTGTATATATATCTAATAATTTTTAGACCATCAATACACATGTTATATTAAAAAGTTATTTGATATCACAATTATATCACAGGTGAATCGTTTCCTGAAAAAAAACTAGAAGAGTTGAAGAAAACTGAGCCAAATCTGTCAAAAATCACTTCGGATTCTTTAAAAACCTCCCTAGGTGTATTAAAAAAATTTGATATCACACCAGAAGAGGCATGTCACAACCCTCACTTGCTATGCATAAACATAATATCTCTGGACAATTATGGAGAGATACTTAAAGAATGTGGGTTTATTAAAATTTTACCTATACATTTAATAAGGTATTTTTGTGTTAGTTTTAGTATAAATTGTTATAAAATCAAGATACACCTATATCTGAATGTTAAATTTTTGCAAGTAGACGTAAAGGCCAGCGACACGCTTGCCCATGCCCGATGGGAGTGTCTATGGGCGACGACACTTAGCATCAGATGAACCTCCTGCCTGTTACATTAAAAAATCTAAAATAGACCCCATGTTTGCTTAGACTAACTGAAATTGAGTTTTATAACTTTAATTCAAAGCAAATAATAGCATTAAAAAAGAGAAAATATTGTATGAACATAATACAGTTTCTGCTACTTTATAAGATTTAGTAGTATTATTTAGATGTATTTCTGTATTAGCTTATACACAATGGTTCATGAAAAACTATATTTATTTAAAAAAATTATTTTATGTATCTGTACCTATGTAACAAGACAATTGTATCAAATTAAAGATTTTATTCTTTTACGTCAGTTATATTGTTCACGTATATTTCAAAAATCATGGACAGCGAAGCACTTTCACATGAAACTGATAAAAATCTATTTAATATTATTATTTATTTAAAGTTTTAATAATGTTTATTACCGCCATCTATTGCCGAGAAATTGAAACTTGCAACTTGGTTTCTTCTGCTTGGATTTTATTGGCTTTAATTAAACATAGGATAACTGAGCAATGATATTATAATGTGGTTATAAAATCGTTTTGACGTTCTTAATTCAAATATCAGTAAAAAAATATATATTTTCAGATACAATACCACAGTGAAGTCTCGTACAATATCACATTTGAAAAAGGATGGTCTTATTAGAGAGGCAGCTAATCTTGAGGAGACGCTCTTGGATATATTTCAGGAATGGCCTATAAATGAGAAGTCATTGAAAAAGTTCTCGGATTCTACTACAAATATATGTAAGTTGAACTCCCCACTTTATTAACTCCCATAGTGTAGGTTTGAATTGATTTGACTGAAAATTTGTGCCCCGTTTAAAAATACATACATGACAAACATGTCTGAATTCAAATATTGATATAAATTTTTTATTGTTTTTAGTTTAGTTACAAAAATCTTTACCACTTTTCCTAGCAGAAACAGAATTTCAGAAGCTAGGCAAAGCAAAGTGCAAACTATACTTTGTGGTATTCATATTATAATTTGTATCACAGACTCGTTTGAGCGCTGTAAAATGTCAAACGTTACTCACAAAATATTTGACAGCTGTCATTCAAGACATTTAAGTTAGACGTTCTATTTCTAGTCTGCGTATTTAATAATTTCAGTAACAATAAGAATGAGTGTATTGGAACGTTATCTGCAATGGCGGCTCTCAATAACATCCGACGATTTCGCCAAATATTGCAAACACTACTTACCCTTGAAACACAGACCGATGAATGACATTCGCCAATCATTGGAATTGGCCGAGAATGTTATAAAACTAGATAGGAATTGTATTATAAGGAATGGCTGTATCATATCATCAGATCCTGTTAATACGAAATTAATTCTGGATAATGTTGAGTCATTGGCCGGTATCGATATAAAGGAAGCGATAAAAATGGTACCGGCGCTTTTGAAAAATAATTATAAAGCGTTATTGGAAATCAAGGATTTGTTAAAGGTAAGTGTTAAAAGTTTTCCCTAGAAGATATGAATGTACGTAAGGGAGCGTTCAAGTAATCGTCACGCAAGTTTTGCAGATTATTGCCTCTTTCTGTCAAATTGTTTACCTTGCGATGACAAGAGATAGTTGGTTAGTTATATTATTATTATGGCAACATTTTGATAGACTATGTGCGTTTTCCAATTACAGCACTAGAGCGCATTATGCGGCATAATGCTCAACGTTGAATGTTCCAACTACAGCAACGCTTCGCACAATTGAGCACTCTCAAAAGTAATGCTCTCGCGTGCTTCTCGCAATCAATACCAACACAGTGACAGAAAATTGACCAGTGTTTTTCTTTAAGTTGGCATTGATCGAAATTTTCGTTAGTAAATATTATTTATTGTTGAAAAATTTGTAAGGCTTTCGTTTCGTCGTAGATTTTGAAAATAATTAAAGTTATTTCAAACTGCTAAAAATATAAATATAAGTATGGATGACGGTATAAATAGTTACTTTTTTTATATTCCACATTTAAAATATGAATACAATTTCATTTTAAAATTCGGATCTGTAAACCAATTTATTTTACAGGATTATACTTTTGTAAACATTGCAATGGTTTTAAAAAAGTATATAATTTTTTTAGAAATATTTTAAAAAAATACTCAAAACGTAAATGATGGCACTGAGTCGCATTATGCTCTGTAATTGGAAAACATTTACAAAAGATTATAGTGCAATCATAATATCACATAGCTGTCAACTGGATGTGGTAGTCTGTAACCACTACTGAAAAGCACTTGACTTGAGTTTTGTGTTGTGTGTGCGGAAGAAACCGGCGTGGGAGTTATGATATTATAATAACTGAATTCAGTTAATGGGTGAAAAAGTAACCTCAAATAATACAACCAAACCGCCATTTTGTCTGTCAATAGGTGCCGATGTTTAAAATTTGACATTTATTGAAACCCCTCTCAACTCTGAATTCAGTTAATGGGTAAAAATGTACTTTCTATACAAATATACATAGAAACCGAAAACTATATTCTAGAAATCCCATCTTGGCGAATCCTTTAAGGTCTATGCAGTGAGGCTATGGAACTCACTTGCTGTCTCTATATTCGCTTAGCTCCTTCTCTATCTTCCTTTAAATCTCTACTGTACAAACATTACCTGTCCACATAGTATCTCTTTCTTTCGTACTAACTGATGTGAGACTGATCTAAAATTATCGTGAAAAGAGTGCACAAGAGCACTTTTTGCTTTTTCATGTCTTTTTTAGTTTAGTTTTTTGTTCCTGTTTATGTTTTGTCTAAATAAATATATGTATATTTGCGCTTCTTGCTTGCCTTATCTAACTTTTTTACACAATGGTTGCCTGGAAGAGATAGCTCGAAAACGATAAGGCCGCCAGTTGTGTTATGTCAATTTTATTGTGTTTCTGCAACGAAGTGCTAATAAATAAAATAAATATATTTATTGCGTGTATAATATTGTACTTTTAGGAATATCAAATATCTGAAGACGCCCAAAGGCGATGTTTGCGTGTGTATTGTATGAACCCGGATTCAGTAAGAGAAAGACTAGAAGATCTTGGAGGAATGAAGGAATACAAAATACTATCGTCTAATCCTAGGGTAAGTTTTATATATTAGATTTTTTTTATTTAAATATTTGAAGCATTGGTTTATGAGGGATTTTACTACAGTGTCTAACTCTAAAAGCGTCTTCACATGGCACGGCATTGGCATTCACAATAGGGATACGAGAAATAAGGGAAAACTTTTCCAGCCGTCTTACAGGTTGCAGAAAATAAATACTTCATTTATGGGCCTAAGTATACGCTGCTATAACATGATTCCTAGTGAAATATTGGAACTGCCTTTAAACAGATTCAAAACACACATCAAAAAAACCTTAATGTGTAAAGGTTACTACACACTCAATGACTACCTGGAAGATAAAAACGCTTGGCAATAGTTGTAATTATATTCTTATAATTTGATTTGTGTGTAATGGTGAATGTGGTAAATCACAGAACAGATTTTTATATTTTTTTTTACTTATGTAACTTTAATGACGTTGTGGTTTATGACATTTTCCTTTGAATTGTTGTAATGTAGAGGGAGGGTAAAACTTGCTAAGTTTCTTGTCCGTTCTTCTCAGAACAAAGCCTCCTGGTAGTTTTGCGAACGGATGGCGTAGTCTTGCTCTTTCGCGAATTTTGTAAACGTTTTTGACATTCATAAGCATGCGCTAAGACGCATCTAAATTGAATAAACGTATTTTGATTTGATTTGGCCCTAATACAATGGTGGTGGGGATGAAATCGGCTCGTAGTTCGAATCGGCAGTAGCAGTAGGGTTGATAATAAAATTAGGGTACGATTTGCGTACACACAAGGCGATCTAGGGTACTTCCCCGTGGTGGTGTGAGATTGTGAGAGGGTGAGATTAAAAACTAGACAGCCTTACTCTTACAATTCGAAAATGACTTTCGGTAGTCTAAGTATGTGCTAAGTCTTTCAAAATCTCTACATTGTCTCATTCCCTCATATGAAAAAAAATACAGTGTCCTGATACCAACTGGCGATCAAGATTTAATCAAGCCTTCTGGTCCAAACGAAGCAATACTTTCGTCTAGAATTAAACACATTACCAAGTTATAAAGTTTTTGGATAACAGGAGGCAAACGGGCAGGAGGCTCACCTGATGTTAAGTGATACCGCCGCCCATGGACACACATTGCCAGATGGCTCGCGAGTGCCGGCCGTTTAATAATTGGTACGGTCTTTTCTTGAAGGACCCTAAGTAGAATTGGTTCGGAAATACGTCAGTGGGCTGGTTGGCGGCTGCGCGGAAAAAACTAAAATTTTATTTTAGACTTGTAGTTATCGATGTAAAAATTAATTCACGTTTACATATTTCAATGTGCACTTATGAACGTCAAAAAAGAAATATACATTAAATGCTTCTTATTTTACATTTACTGCCAGTTTTCAAATCAAGGGTGTAGAACGGAAGAGAAGAACTGGCAATAAACTCTCCGCCACTCTTTTTAATAGCATGCAGTTAGCTTGTTTTTAATAACATTTTTGTGGGAACAACACGCAAATACATAGTCGAAATAACTAACAACAAGTAGCACCCGTTCACGAGTATGACGCATGGCCAGCCATTGGCCCCCTCGCCATATTTTAGGGAGAGAAACAACCAGAAGCATGGATGCCGCCACAAACAATGACAAGCGAGCATGACGATCCTTGAATATATCATTCTATATTACATAACTACATACTATACCAATTCATAAAAGGCCGTCAACGTATTCGCGAGCCCTCTCTCTCTTTGAGTGTCCATGGGTGGCAGTATCACATCACACTAACTTTATAGCAATAATAGCGTAATCTCTCACTGACCAAGTTAAAACGTCGCTGAAATAATGTAATCTCGTTTTATTTACAAATTTCATAATATTTTTTATAGATATTGTATATGGTAGTACACCAAAGGAAAGTTTTGAATCGTCTATTGAAAATCCAATCAGCGAAGAAACAGTGTTTTAGTCTCAACAGTCTTATTTCGTCGCGGAATATATTTAATTCGTAAGTATTGCAATCTACATACACACACTAAACAATAAAGATTGAACGCCGGCTGCTCACACGAAAAAACATGATTCATTGTCCCGTTACGCTCATTGTACGCTTGCGCCGCGTCTATCTCTCTTCCACTCGATTGGCCTATTCGTCCGAGTACTCCTATATAAAATAGAGATATTTTATTCATAAAAGTATGCAACATTTCATCAATGTTTTGTTATGACGTTGTCACGTTATACTATCGTCCGTAAACCCACTTTACAAACCATTCTTTGTGTTTTACACATATTTATTAAAAATTGCATTTTGTTTAAGTACTTATCTTTTTTCATCGTCGCGTAAACATAATATGACAGAAAGAGATGAATGAGTACTTTATTAAGGGTGTTATTACGTTTTTTAAATAGTTTGTATGGTATATATATTGTTTTAAATTTTGAGCAGTGTTGACTTCAGCGTGCGACTCTCATTCCTGAGGTCGTACATTCGACCCCCTAATAGACATTTTATGTACGCATTTAACATTCGCTCGAACGGTGAAGGAAAACATCGTGAGGAAACCGACATGTCTTAGACACAAAAAGTCAATGTCTACAGAACAAGTCTATGGGTTGTAGCGCCACTTTTTACACTTTCAGATACATGACCAGCTTTGGAAGCAAAGTTTGTAGTAGAGACATCGCGATATTGATTCTGACAACTCTGAATGGAACAAATCAGAAATTGCTAATAAATGACTTAAGAAGACACAAATATTGGCTCCATACAGCTTTAAATGTCATATATGAAAATATATGTATGTTGAAACGTGATTTCAATGATAAAGTTATTTTGGAAAATTGCCATTTACTATTGTATCCTGGGTGAGTTGTTTTTTATCTACACCATTAAATGCCTCAAATGTTTCACCGTTTAATTGAATTCTACTTTGAGTTGAAATGTCAAGAAACCCTCGGAAAAGTGACAGACAAGATGGCGGATGTTGATCAGCTGTTTGTTGATTTACGTTTATTTCTTGTTGGCATAATCGTTGTGTTGAATTGGATTTATTTAAATGAATAGTTAGGCTTTTTAAAAACGCAAAATATTGATACGTTATCAAGATAATCTAGAGATTTTTTGGACTTTCTCTGTTCGTATTCAACACTCGCTACGTATGAAGAAAAGATCGTGAGGAAACCTGCAAACCTGCAGTTTTTTTCAACGGGGCCCCACGTTTCACAGGGAGGCAATTTGATTGTTATTCGGCTAATCGAAAATTTATTATAATTATTTGTAATTTGAATTTCAGTTTTTCAGTTTAGTTGTTCCTAATATCTATCATTTATGATTCTAAAGTGAACAATTATTATTGAATATTAAAAATGTTTTTTCGTAAAAGGCGGGAAATATCTATAGTCTATTATATTCTCTATGTCATAATCTATTGAAACAATGTACGTAGATAATTAAATACTTATGACTTTTTAAATTACAGATCCGAAATAGCGAAACACATTGACAGCTTTCAAAAAATGCGAAAAGGACAAACAGAAAAGACCACAGATAATTATAATAATTTAAATTATACAACACTTTCCGACAGTCAAGTGTTAAGTCTAGTTTTATATGAAATTGAAAGAAACTACCATTTCAGCGGTGATGGTATATGGACGAACCAGGACGGACAGAGGGAGCAAAGTCTTAATAAGAAAATCCAAATACATAAATAAAAATAATTACTGTGTTTTATTTACAATATTAAACAAACATAACCCTTTTACTGAACTTTATTTACAAAATAAACTTTATTCATATAGGTAACCAAGTACACTTATGAACGTCAATAGAAAAGATGTTAAATTGATTCTAAATTGACATAGGAAGAACTGGCAAGAAACTCTCCGCCACTCTTTAATCGCCTAGTTTAAAGTCATACAAGGATTAGGATCATTTAAATAATCGTCAAATTTTTAAAAAACTATTGATGGATTTACGTTTAACAATTACAAAATATATTCGAAGAAAAAAACTATATTTTTCTCTCAGTCAAATTGTCTGACATAGGCCTTTTTTATATTACGACCGATTTAAATTTAAGTTTAAAATAATAAGTTAACTTTGACATTATGTACTCTCCAGAAACGTGTGTTCTGAATGTAATCTAAATCACACTTAATTTGTTTTTTTTTTATTAATACATGAGTATGAATACAAGTCTTTCGGCCAGTAGTAATTTTCTGGTAAAAGTCAACATTTTAATGAATCGGATTCAACCAGATTCGTCAGTGATATGTGTGTTATGATTTTCGGTAAAGGTAATTTGGTGGCGGTGGACCCACTGAATATCAATTTGCTCTTGGTAAGGAAACTGACAAGTCTCAGACACAAAATCGTATTAAAATGAATGATGCTTACTCTCAGTGGAATAATATATGTACTGGTGTTCCGCAGGGTGGCGTTCTTTCACCTCTTCTTTTTTCTATCTTTATTAACACCCTGACTGCACATCTATCCGCTAATTATCACCTTTACGCTGATGACCTCCAAATCTACGTTCAGTCTACACTGGATGAGCTTCCTCTTGCAATACAGGCGATGAATGATGATCTTGAAAACATAGCCAACTGGAGTAAAGACTTTAGTCTTCAAATTAATCCTGCCAAGAGTCAAGTTATCATCATCGGAAGCCCTTTCTTTATTTCAAGAGTCAAATGGGCTCAGCTCCCTGGTGTTTACCTTGACGGTGTGGCCTTGGCCCTCAATAAGACTGTTAAAAATCTTGGGGTCTTCTTCGACCAAATGTTTTCCTGGGGTCATCACGTAAAGGAGATCAGCCGTAAACTTTACGCCGCTTCTTTTACTCTGAGACGTCTTTCTAATTTCCTTCCTATCCGCACTAAAACTATGTTAGCGCAGTCTCTTCTGCTTCCTATTCTCGATTATGCGGACTCATGCTCCTCTGATTTGAACGAAGAGCTACTTGACAAGATCGAACGCCTGCAGAATTTCTGCATACGTTTCATATTTGGTCTTAGAAAATATGACCATGTGTCTAAATTCCGCAGGCAGCTGGGGTGGCTACCTATTCGATTCAGACGTCACGCTCATCTTCTTCAACTTCTATACTCAATTCTTTTCAATCCGAAAACCCCTTCTTATCTCAAAAATCACTTCAAATTCTTAGGTCCTTCTAACTATATGTTACGCTCTTCTAATAGATGTTTATTGGAAATTCCATCCCACACTTCATCCTTCTTAGGCAATTCATTCACGATCTCCGCCATTAAGTTATGGAATACGCTGCCCGACTCCGTACGATTGGCTACCTCTCTGTCATCTTTTAAAACTCTTCTGTATAATCATTTCTTAACCTTATCCTATCCTCATCAATCGTGACTTTTATAATTCTTATGATTCCTTTTACATCACTATTCGCTGTTCATGTATTTGTAAGATTAGTTTTTAAGTTTTTAGTTTGTTATTAATATTTTTTTTGTATTGCTTTAGATTAAGGATTCTGCACTTCTCGCACGCATCATGTGTCTTTTTTTTAAAAGTTTTTCTCTAAACTAGGGTTGCCTGGAAGAGATCGCTTATTAGCGATAAGGCCGCCCGTTGCATCCCTTATAATTTTTATGTATTGTGTTTCTTATATTATTAGCAACGAAGTGTAAATAAATAAATAAAATTGTGTGACAGGCACATAAGGTTGATGCAAACTGTGGCCACGGATAGGGTTGTAAATTATTTATGTCAATAAAACATTATATAAGCACAAATTTTTATTTAACTTAATTTTATATTGCTTTATAAAGGTATAAATCATACGATAATTTTGTCCCTGTAAAAATAAAGGAGAATCTAAGGGACATCTTAATACTAAAAAAATAGTTATCTCTTTCTTAAGCTTTCGAATGACAATAGAATAGAAAGAGACAAACAGTATAAAATATGTACAACATTAAAAGCAAAGGTTTTATGCAAGTAAATTTATGTATCTGTAACTTAATAAATCGATCACTTAAGAACTATAACTGTAAAAAAAAATATTCAAGTTGTGTATTTTACAATAAAATACGTTTGTTATAACGCTTTTAAAATATATAATAACACTTAATTACTTTTTGGCACATAATTCACGTTTTAAAATATTATTTTACCTTACAATTTGTTTGGAATACTTTGTTAAAATATAAAATGCATAATTTCTTTGGCTCTGCCGTTAGGGTTTAGTGAAAACATGTATTATGATTTCAGAATTGCTTAATTAAAGACATGTTTGGTTATTAGTCAATCAACACCATTACCACAGTCATTCAATCCTTGCGATTTCATCCATAATAAAGATGTAATGATAATAATATACGGGCTTTGTTAACAGATTATAGATAGATGACAATTGACAACTCTTACTTAGCCTTTATGATATTTACAATGAAATAACAGCGAAGTGAAAGCTATTGCGTAAAGTTAAAACTATTGCCATAATCTAAAAAAAAAGCTATTGCGTAAAACGAAATTCTTTAGATGTTTTAAAAATGGAACAAGTTTTCTTTTTTATAAGCTTTAAGTTTAGGAATGAATAAAATTTATGTAAGACATTATTTTATAAATAAGAAAAACCTACCTAGTTTAATAATTCTTACTTATAAGGCACAAGGAATGCAACTAATTTAAGATTTATTTATAATTACTTATATAACTAAATTATTATTAAAATCTACCAACTATAAAAAGAAGTAAAATTTTAATTATACTTTTGGTTACGTTTTTTGGGAATCTTACGCGGGAAAGCACAGCGAACACTAGATGTCAAATTTATCATTTATCTTCGTTAGTCAATTTTCTATCTGTGAAGTGTGACAGTTTAAATTAATACTATAGGCAGCGGCACGTAAGTCTAGCGCTGGCCGATACGTGGAGGGGATTGCTGCGCATGTGTACTGTCGCGCGGGGGACGGAATGCGACTGGAGAGCCAATCGACGCTCTTCATTTCGCTAGCCCCCCTCAGGTACCTTATTTTTTACTTCTGCGCAATAACGGTCAGCGCTAGAGTTTCGTGCCGCTACTTGTACGTGTGTTGAAATTTAATTCCATGAATAATAATTGTAATAATACGCGGCGCAGGAATAGCCCCTTAGTTGCCACCCACCACACTTTTCGACGAGTCGTCTAAAACAAATTTTGATTTGATTATTATCCAAAGTAATTCCATAGACCGATTTAATATGGACGGCTGTCAAATGCGCTCGCTATACACAAATCAATGACGCAATTACAACTGGATTTTTTATTAAAGAATCTGTTATACGCGAAAAATTCTAAAATTATATTTATCTTAAATTCGTGTTTTACATAAAAATGCGAGATATATATTCTAAATATCGCTTATTATCTAATGTCATTTAAATATTGAGTAGACGAAGCCATATACTCTTTTTCGAAATTAGTTAATTTCGATTTTTAACACACTATTTGTTCGACAGGAAATCGTTTGGCTACCGCGACTGTTAAATACACTGACGTTTTGACTGCGCTTAGGATTTGTCCCATGTTCACAACCTGAAGCCAGGCAGTTATCGTACCAGGGCCGTAAAATTATCGTATATGTTATCCATATACGATAAATTATCGTACAGTCAGGAAAATGGCTAAAAATACTTTAAAAAATCATATGAAACGTGAAAATAAAATGTTGCAAACGATTTATAGTTTAAATCTTGTAAACTTGTGTTTTTCAAATTGATCTCTTTCGTCAAAGAGGAACAAAAATACGCAATATTTTCTCGTTGAACAATATGGTGTTCGCTCTAAGTGATATACCTATTGTCCGTAAACATCGCATATTATTTTTATCACTTAAAATTCGTTAGGTATTAAAATGTTATCGAAGACTTCCAAATCTGCGTCACCATACAAATCGTGAATTTTTTGGCTGTGCATTCTGATGCGTTTTTGTGTTTGTACATTAACGCTTTGTTCATCTGCTGTAGTTGCCTTGTGACAGCATAAGTTCCTAATAGAAAAATAAGCCAATAGATGGCACTGACACTAAAAACTGTAATTGTTATTGGGCTATCTGTGTAATCATCAAATTTTTTATCAGACTGGAAATTATCGTACAATCTGCGTACGATAGTCATGTACCATCGTACATCGTACGTAGTTATGAAATTATCGCAAATGTACGATAATTATCGTACGGTTGTGAACCCTGATTTGTCCTATGTCAATAAAATATTGGATTTAGACATGAGATTCGCATGAAATCACGATATTAATAAAACAGTTAACACGTAATTACAATTCAATGTAAAGAATATTTTGCTAATATTGTCAAAAAGGCTGCGGGTTTGACAAACAGCCATGAACCCATAATTCCAAACTAATTTGTATCGATATAGTCCGTGATAAAGCATGAACTTTATTGCTTGGAATTAAGGTGTCTTTTTCAACGTAAATATTTTGAAGTATCCATCTTGGTTTGGGGATGTTTAAAATGGTTACTACTGGGAATGTAGACAAAATATTTGGTGTAATAAATGCCGTCAAATTTCTGTCTATGGCCCAAACGTGTGCTTTCATTTGGACAATTTCGAAAAAGAGTATTTCAATTCAAAAAAGGGGGCAGTGACGTGTACGCCTGACCCGTGCTCGGCTCCATCTTCACCACAACCGGTTGCGACAAATCCTGGCGATCCATCTCATAGTGCTTCTCGTGAACCATCGCGCACTTGTCATAGTCCTCTGGCGGGTTGTATCGTGGCTCCTCCTGCAGCGCACACGCATACTTCTCTTCATGCTCATGACGGTACTCCACTTTGTCCTCATGCCCATGGGGTTCTATTTGGGGAGAGTGAGCTACCAAGGGATACTCCCGCAAGGGGGGACTCCCTTCAGCATAATCGTAATGTCTAGCGAACATATTTTGTCCGTCGTGTCCGTTGAGAACCGTGGTATAGGAGTAGCCAGGTTGAGGGTTGAAGGCGGGGTAATTACTCCCAGATGAGAGTAAGTGGTGGGAAGATAGTTCGTACGAGTGTTGGTACGACCAGGAATCAGCCGGGGCTGGTAATCCGTTTTGTGGGAAGGCTGGTAGATTGCCACCGATGCCGGAGAAGCCGCCGCTCAATGTGGTGGAACTTGGTGAGCTGGATCCGATGTAGCCGGTTTTTCGTGGTGGTTCGCGTTTACGCCACTTTGCTCTTCGGTTTTGGAACCATACCTGTGAAAAATATCAGTATTAAAACAGAGATTCATTTATTAAAGAAGCCAAACAAATAAGAAGAAAACATGGTTGATTAAGGTGACTGAACTACCACACCCGAACTCAGAATTCATACGGGAATTTCTTCATTGTTACTTCTACCGAAAATATGCCAAAGCCTTTTCTCTTTGACTTCATTTGTGATTTAAACCATAAATTCTCTCGAACTTTCCTAATTCGAGTTGATGTGTATGCGAAGTTGCGAACGTTGCGAGAACGCCGAATACGGATCATAGTCAGTCCAGACTTAAACTAAGTGTAAAATACGGGACGTTCCGGGAAATACAGGACGTCCGGCAACGCTACTAGTAATCCTACCTGTACTCTTGATTCCGAAAGATTCAATTTTAGTGCCAGTTCCTCACGTGCAAATACATCAGGGTAGGGAGCGCGTTCAAACGCTCTCTCCAGCTCTTCAAGTTGATATGCCGTGAATGTGGTTCTGTAAAAACAATCATAATATTAAAAGGCTTACTATAAAGTTAACGATTATCTATTTTTTTTATGTAACCCCTATGTGCCTCCTAGCAAACGGGCAGGAGGCTCACCTGATGTTAAGTGATACATGGACACTCACAATACCAGAAGGCTTACAAGTGCGTTGCCGGCCTTTCAAGAATTGGTACGCTCTTTTCTTGAAGGACCCTAAGTCGAATTGGTTCGAATATACTTCAGTGGGCAGCTGGTTCCGCATAGTGGTGGTGCGCGGCAAAAACTGCCTTAGAAAGAAAACGCTCAGTTGTGGAATCTAGTTGATAAAAGGGCCTGGGACTAGAGCTAGACAGGCTACTACTAATTAATTTGCGATATTTGTTTTAAAATAAGTGTTGTTTGCCATAGTTATTTTGCATGATGATTTGCTATTTTAAAAGAGTACCGAGAGTTTTTTACGCCGGCTTTTTCTCTCGGCCTCCACCCTCTGTCTTCTTTGCTGATGAGTAGTCTACCGATACAAATTTAATAACGTGGAATAAGTGATACCTGTATCTTATATTCCATAATAAACGTATTTTATTTTTAACTGGTATACCTATATACTTAAAGTCTTCCAGGGTTGATGAACAACCTAACAACTCCTTCGGAAGCACAAAGTCTTGCGCTCCGTAGAGCAGGTGGAAAATAATTAACGGCTCAAATAAGAGTCTTTCTGTCTCCGTGGACCGTGGGGTACAAATGCACAGCTAATTTTAGATTTAAGTTGGCGCCTAGTAGACAGTACCGGTGACCCCAGAGCTGGTGCTTTCCTCAACGAATAAGTATCGCAATACAGCGAGGAAATGCTGCCAGCGTTAAAAGTACACTGCCACAGGGACCAAACTTTTTAAATTTGTTTTTATTTTCTATTTATTAATTTTTATTATTAGGTACATTAAAAGTAATTGCCTGCCATTAAAAGTAATTGTAAAAGAAATTAACACGTAGCAACTAGCGTAATTGACACTACGGGCCTAGTGATAAGACTGAAAAGGAGAACACCATTTGAACTAGTGAATAGTGTTAGTGCACGTTAGTCTTAAGTGCTAAACAGTGGAAAGTAAAAATTAAACTCAAGAACAGAGTGTCTTCCCTTTAATAGACGCTGTAAGTAGTGTTTTGGACACTTTCTTATGTTAAAAATCCTTTTTAGTCTATTAGGTTAGACTTAAATTACTTATTAGTCTTAAGTTAGGCTAGATCGTAATGTTTTTTTTATGGCTCTGGCACGGTTTGTGCATTAGCCAGCGTCAAGTATAGGATTTCTTATAATTCGTGCTTGTCTTTAGAAATTCGACCGTGTCCTCCATGTACGGTTTAAGCACTCGCCCGGTACCGCACAACCCTCCCAAAGGCCGAGAACAAATTTTAAATTAAATTAAATCTTGCCCTCGAACCGGGAATCGAACCGTACCCCTCACCTAGCTGATCGTAATGTTAATAATATCTTAGTAAAGACAAATGCATAAACATCGTTGCAATTAAGAACTATATTTGTTCGCATAATTCCCTATCCGCACAGACTCACGAGTCCTGCTTAGACGGTCATGGCAACCCCAATAATAACATACCGTTACTGTATCCCAATTGACAAGCAATTAGATGCCCACGCGCAGGGGGTGAATTTAGTTTCACGCTCAATCAATTTCTGCGCGTGCGCCCGCAGCCATATTGCACGTCATGTGTTTGATTCGCCCCGGGATAAGGCGATTGAAAAATGTAATTAGAGTTTAAAATACCAGTGGCGCTGGAGTTTTTAATAAGAACCACGAAAATCATCTAATGTTAAATGATATCGATGGACACTCTTAATGCCAGGCTCGCGAGTGCGTTGCCTGACTTTAAATTTTGTTTGGTCTCGGGTTAAAGCGTCCCTCATGAAGTCATGCGTTCTGATTTTATAAATACATATGTGCGTAATTAGTACTTGCTCTTACGGTGACGGCATCGTGAGGAAACCATCTTTGACCTATGTCAGACACAAAAGGCTGATCACCTGCTTGTCTAGGATTATTATTAAACAGTTGCATTCACCTCTGATTTCCAAGATTTCTAAGCTAAACACGCGTTGATTGGGACTAAAACGTAAGAGAGTAACGTCCCTAAGGGTGGAAAAAGAAGCAGTTAAGGCACTGGGAGGATGACATAAGGATAGGTAGAATGGCATAGCGGACAGATCAACATGGCGACATTTATTTAGCGACAAAATTCTTGAACCAACACTAATAATTACTAACTAACAAATGGCGTAAGGACACAATCTGCAAAGCAAATCTATTTCGCTCACATTTGCATAACGTTTTCTGCTTTTGTTGGCCCATTTTCAGGTCGGATTTGGATGTCTGGAGTCCTCGAGGCAACAAAGGAGAGGAGGCCCCCTGGCCCCAAATAAAATGTAAAAAAAAATTCAGTAGAGTTTTTCAATTAATTATTTAAGGTTGGTATTTTACCAACTTATAAAAATATAAATACAGATCAATGATTTCTGTTCATATTTAAGAAGAATATGTTTGTACAAAGGTTACGTAAAGGTCAAAAATAGCAAAAAATTAAATCAAAAGAAAAGTTCTCTACTTGTGTTTACTAAAACATTTTCTTTTCGAAGTATCTATTATGGGGGCCTCTCTTTTGTAGAACACCAACAAGAACTACAAGTTCTTGACAGTGAAGACATAAAGCTTTAAGAACTAGGTTCTTCGGGACATTGTCTATGCACCTTGGTATATTAAAAATGTGGATACAGGATCTTAATGTGGATACAGTCCTAAATACGGCAAAACGGTTTAGCTCACTCAAACTTCTTGTAACAGGAATAAGACGCCTAAAGAGAACTAAACCGTTCGAGTTAATAAACTATAGTGTATATAGGTTCAAATATATCTCGGACACACGAACATAGTGTCAAAACATTATACAACACTAACGCTGGGTCCACATTTGTAGCATCTTGACGTATCACTATCAGTCGTATCGTATCTAGTATTTGTATCATAAATATTATTTATTATTATTATGTTTATAATCATTTGCGGTGTATCAAGTATCGTATCGCGATACAGTATCAAAATACGTCCATACCACCGATCGTGATACGCGTATCGGATACGAGGTGTATAAAGATACGCGCATAGTGCGGATCGGGCCGTATCAGATACGGCATGTATCATTAACCCCGTTATTAAATGTTAAAATGATACCCGTATCATTTTGGGTCCAAACTAACGATCATGATACGCGCCGAAGCCACGCACCGGAGATATGATACCAAATGCTACAAATGTGGACCCAGCTTAAAGCCGGGTCCACATTTGTAGCATTTCGGTGTATCGTATCTCCGTTGCGTGGCTTCGGCGCGTATCATGATCGTTAGTTTGGACGCAAAATGATACCCGTTTATGATACATGCCGTATCGGATACGGCCCGATCCGCACTAAGCGCGTATCTTGATACACCTCGTATCCGATACGCGTATCACGATCGGTGGTATGGACGTATTTTGATACTGTATCACGATACTGTATCGCGATACGATACTTGATACACCGCGAACCATCCTGTGTCGGTTTTTCGCGATCATCAAAGGGAATACACAACATCAATGGGTGACATGCGAGTGAAATTTTTGTATTTTCCGCTGGTATACTGAAATTTTAAATCTCGCATAAATGGTATTCCACCATGTTTGTTTCGGTTTCTAAACACTTCCAGCGCCGTCTACGTCTAGATTTAACTTTTTTTAAATACTATTAATGATAATATAACAGGCGCTAGTCACCGCCAAACTGTGAGCAATTGCTGACATGGTTAAACCGTTTGGGAACGAAGACATGACTGAACATTGCGAGAAGGGAAAGGTGCACTGAAAGACACGCGCATCATGATACATCGGAAGAAAAGTGAAGCGTCTATATTTGTAAAGTTAAAGCCGATACACTGACATGATACAGCATTTGATAAGTATGGACGCGTTTTTTACAAGATACGCCTTAAATATACGACATGGACAAAATGAGCGTCCATATTTATGATACAGATACTAGATACGATACGACTGATCGTGATACCAAATGCTACAAATGTGGACCCAGCTTAAGACTGTTAAAGAACATTACCTTAGTAGAAAATTAAGTCAACATAATATAACTTATTAGCCACAATTGTATAGAGTTTGTAATTTATATAAAGTCGCTGTACTTTTTATGAACTATACTGTAGGAAAAAAATATTTGAAGGCCGTTGAGACAAGCTTAGTGGTAATGTAAAAAAATACCCTATTCCAATTAAAGCTTATTTTATGAAATCAAGATAAGTCAGTCTCTCATAGGGGTAATAAGCAATAAGTAAAAGACCCAGCATCGATCGTTTCCCCTTCATTGGTTAATAATGACTTGAATCTATCATAATGGGCCGGATCGAAATAAATTTCAATTTAACAATAGCGACTGTAAGTAGTGGTGGATACTTTTCTTAAACATCTTTTTTAGTCAGTTAGGATATTACTTATTAGTATTTAAAAAAATCAGTGGCGCTACAACCTCTCAAGGCTCCCCGCAAGCGCATCACCAGAGATACCTCGCCTCGTGGCGTAAAAACACGATTATGACATTGTTATTTTTTTATCAGTTGTCTCTCCACAAAGACATGGTTTAATATTAAGCCTTTAAGACTAATAAAGAGCAGTGTTGGCCTTGTGGCTTCAGCGTGCGACTCTCATACCTGAGGTCGTAGGTTCGATCCCGGCTGTGCACCAATGGACTATCTTTCTATGTGCGCATTTAACATTTGCTCGAACGGTGAAGGAAAACATCGTGAGGAAACCAACATGTCTTAGACCCAAAAAGTCGACAGCGAGTGTAAGGCACTCTACTTGCCTATTAGATTTAAAAAATTTCATACAGATTCAGAAATCTGAGGCCCAGACCTAAAGAGGTTGTAGCGCCACTGATTTTATTTCATCGATGTACATATATACTTATTCGTTAAGGAAACCAGCTCTGTTACCATTATCTACCATGCGCATAAAAAGGAACAGTGCCACAGAGATCATACTTTTCTTTCTTTTATTTATAGCTAGCTGACCCGGCTTACTTCGTTCCGCCTAACAGTCTAATAATATCGTGTTTACTTTAGTTAAACTTATTTTAGGTTTCATTAAGGTAATAACATTAATACAACTTTTTTTTGCAAATACAGAATAGTTTTATTGCTTGTCATTGCGAAAGAAGAATGGCAGTTTTACACATTAGTCCTCGTTTCTCTAGCGCCAATATTGCGATAGGTACCTACTGCATGTTAAAGCATTTTCTGATATACAACATTTGATAAGGTAACACATGTATTCGATCAAGATCAAGCCTGGTTATGCATCTCCTCAGTCACCTCAAGATCGGAATTTCTTGAACTGACACGAATTCGATGTAAAATGATGCGTAATTTTGTCAACAGATGGCACCACATGGTGTTTGCATTCGTAAAATTAAATAATTAATTTATTGTTATTCGATATTTTATCCGATATTTTATTACTTATTGTGCTATTCGGAGCGAAGAAGAATCCACCAAAAAAGAAATACCTGACATCGTTCCAGCCGATCTTGAGTTATAAGTGGTGTAACTAACACGACTTTCTTTTATATATTTAAGATTAATATAGATCATTATTATTTTTGGGTCGCACGGCCAGCGGAGTAAGAAAGTAATGAGCTTGTTGGCTTACGACTCTTAGAGGTGGTAGGTTCGATCCCCGGACTGTAATAGCTGTCAATGTCCGCATTTATCACCTCGTACGGTGACGGAATTCGTGTATATACTGGACATTGGACAGGTGTTGGTACAGAAGATTGATCACCTAATTACCTACAAAAATGAAATCTAAGGCTTTGGGATTGGAGTGCCTCTGTTTTATATATTCTTGTTGGGTCAAAAGTCAAAAATCATTTTTTCACCGAAGAGCTGGCAGCTACCTCGGACAAAGAATTAGTCTAGCTATTCAAACGGGGAACGCTGCCAGTATCTTCGGGACCTTGCCTAAAGGGACTCTGTTAAAAATATATTTTAGTTATTATATTTTAAGGTTAGTTATTGATTTTTTTTCTTTTTTCATATAGGTAACACAATGTACACTTATGAACGTCAAAAAAGAAATATACATTAAATGCTTCTATTTTTACATTTACTGCCAGTTCTCAAAACAAGGGCGTAGAACGGAAGAGAAGAACTGGCAAGAAACTTTCCACTCTTTTGAATCGCCAAGTTTTTTGTTTTACACAATGTAAGGAACTGCAACCATTACATCATGTTCCACATGACATCTTAAGTAATTAATAATAATAAAATAAATTTAAAAGAAAGATTTGTCCTCTATCAGCAGGAGGCATGGTGAAATAGGAGCACTAACATTCTCGTGTATAATCAAAAGTAACATCAACATATGGCAATATTTTTAAAATCATCATATTAGTTATGCAATAGGGTTGCAGTTGAAAACGATAAGGGTGAATTCCTATGCATTATCAGCCCCTTTTACCGTTCAGATGCGCCTGAGCTGAACAGTTGTTTGATATTTGAAACTCTAAGTTCGATTCTCGACAAACAACCTCTTTAGGTCTTGGCCTCAGATTTCTTAATCCGTTTCATGATCATTTTAAAAATCTAATTGGCAAGTAGGTGATGAGCCACCAGTGCCCGACACACGCCATCGACTTTTTGGGTCTAAGACATGTCGGTTTCCTCACGATGTTTTCTTTCGCCGTTCGAGCAAATGTTAAATGCGCACATAGAAAGAAAGTCCATTGGTGCACAGGCGGGATCGAACCTACGACCTCAGCTATGAGAGTCGCACGCTTAAGCCACTAGGCCAACACTGCTCTTTTTTTTAAATGCCTATATTTATACTCGGCGAAAACAATACGATTTTTTACTAACATCATCTAAAATAAAATTAATTGCGGCTCGCTTCTAGAAAAATTGCATTTCCATCTTCGTGGCTAGAGTCGTCATCGTGCTTTGTTTCACGTTCCTCACATCAACACCAACTATGCAAACTCAGTTTTTTATCACGTCCAGACATACAATGACCACTAAGCCTTGACTTGTTTAAGCTATCGCGGAGTTTTAAAAGGAGTATTAAGAATATCCATAGCGCATACCTCCATCTTGAGCACACTCCACACACCCTCAAGTACATACCTACACACACCATCACACAACACCTGAATTAGGTATTACTTAGTTTAGTATTTAATAACTTTTATTGGTTTTTCTTTCGTAAACGTTTGAACCTTTTTGTATAGATGTAAAGAAATAATTATTTTTTGTAATTAGATTTTTTCTATTTTGTGTTAACAAATGTTTCATTTAATTTGTTGGTTAGTCTAAACTCTTAAAGACGGCAGTTTTGTTTGTATGTGTTAGTAATTTAAATTTGAATACGAAGATGTTTTTGCTAGTACATTTTGGATTATAAAAGAAATAGGATGTAAGTGAATTTCAAGTAGAATAACAAACTCTAAAAGTTGTTTCTCAAAATACATATTTTTGCAACACATTTGAGTTTCATTCATTATATATAATATATTTGCCTATATCTTTAGCATAATTATTTTTTGTTTTTTATATATTTTGTTAGCTTACGAAATAAACAAATAAAACCTTTTTTAAACGTTGACTACGACTTTTTTTTAATAGCACACTTAATTTGTATAAATAATTATAAATTGTAACTACGTAAAACAACGATTTACAAATTAAATTCACGAACGAAATTTATTTCCAAAAATTGTTCAGAAGTGACGTCTAAAATCAAAATTGATATGACCTTAGCACAACACTAGAGGATAATTAAAAAATTAATATTAAACACTATGTCTTAATCACAAAATATGTTTAAACATCACTCTATCACCTACCTTGTCTTTTTCTTTTTAATCCCGTTGTTTTCACCTTTCTTCTTCTCGCTTTTCTTAGTGGGCGGTGGATGCGCTGCATGCTGTTGCGGTGCATCCACTTGCTGCAGAAGTATCGGCTCCTCTTTCCGCTTCTGCTCCCCCGGGAACACCGGCAGCTCCTCCCGATACAACTCTCCACTCGACCCGACCACTACTTGCACCCTATCCTTCCCAAATTCGCCGAACATATGCTCCTCAAACGTCGGCTGCTCCATACTCGGCGCCGGTTCGAAGGAGCACTCATACCGCGGCCCGGAATCTCCACACACGTACATAAACTCGGCTGGTGGCGGGTGAGAACCCGCTACCTCCGTACCAACCTCCCTCGGCTCCGTGTCTACCTGCCGGGCACGAGATGCCCGACCAACTTAATTTAATATTAAACAATTTAAGCTCATTTGAGTCCTTTCGCGTTCGTACCGTCGCGTCCGTCCCGGTTAAATGGCTTTAATCAACATTAACGAACTAACCGACTTTGAAATGCGGTTGGTCAATTTATATTACCATAATACGACGATAGAAGGCAGCATGGGCCAATGAGTACTGAGGGAGTGCGGCCCGTTCAATGCGTGTGACACTACTCTGAACCGTATCATCATAGCTCAAAGGGGAGTTTCCGTTCTTCGACGCGGGTACGTAAGCTTATTTGAACGCAGGAGAATCTACCAATGGGAGAATAGATCGGTCACACCCCAATGTATCCAGCACCCGTGGCACGAGCTGCGGGCTATCACTACGGTGTCTTTTATGAATTATGCGGGATTCCCACAAATTCATGAGATTTTTGTATAGGGCGCAAACACCCACATACTTACCAAATATTATAAATCCACGGCCGTGGGAAAATGCAGAAATCTTAGATTTTCAGGATGGCGCGTGGTACTGCTCCGCCCGTGGCTGGTCTCCGTCAGCCGATGGCGGGCTTAATTATCAATTAGCAGTGGATTATTAATAAAACATTCTATTGGCACTTAGATTAACTGGGGGAGTAATGGCGCATTTCAACAAATTCGGTTGTTATTTAATTGAAGTCAATTTAGATGATCAGAGTCTATTTAGGTTGGTGCTGGCACGGGATCTCTGCTTCATTGGGCTCATTGGAGACTTTCAGGCAAGACGAGTTGCACTCGTGAATGCAATTGTGCATATGCAATTTGTTCGCGAAGCATGGCGTCTAATTTGGGAGTGTATTGGCGGAATGTGTGCTTTGTGTTGTGTAGTGTTTTCGGATTGTGCCGTCATGGAACAGTCAAACCAGTTATCGTCACATGATTTGAGGTGTACTGCGAGTTGACGTAAGTCGCTTAAAACCTTATTCATCTACATTTTTTTATCAACAGCCAGCATAGTCTATGGTTTCTATTATAATTTACTTACGCTTAGCCATGTAGGAATGAAACTCCAATGAGTTGCTGAAATATTTATAACCTGTTATTTAACTTGAAACCTAACTTTATAGTACGGGAGGTAGCAACGTTTGAAAAGAAAGAATTTTAGGTCAGCTGATTTTGTGATATGTCTTCCTTCTTGCACTTTCGGTTAGAGTCTGGGCAATCTGGCTGGCGGTAGCGGTTGCGTTCATTAGTGCGCATCCTATCTGTCCGGTAATAATCCTGGATTTTAAAAGCATTTTAAGAAGCGTAATTTTTAATTTTTCGTTTTTAAATAAGTCTACCTGACATACTTTTTTTATTGCCAGACATTTTTCACATTGCTAACTATGTGTCAGACGCGATTTTAAGTTTTTTTTTATAAAAATTTCAAAGTATTTTAGAATGTCTGTAATTTTAATATTTTGTTCTTTAAATATAAGAAAAACTAAAAATGAATTTGCCAGACATTAATTCGGTTGTTAAGTCTTGAATTAAAATGAAAAAGTATTGCAGTATGATGAAGCGTTGCATTTTAAGAAGCGCAATTTTTAATTTTTCCTTTTAAATAAGTCTACCTGACATACTTTTTTTATTGCCAGACATTTTTCACTTTGCTAACTATGTGCCAGACGCGATTTTAAGTTTTTTTTACTAAAAATTTCAAAGTATTTTAGAATGTCTGTAATTTTAATATTATGTTCTTTAAATATAAGAAAAACTAAAAATGAATTTGCCAGACATTAATTCGATTGTTAAGCCTTGAATTAAAATGAAAAAGTCATGAAAAGTATGGCAGTATGATGCCTTTCATTGGTAATAAAAACATTTACGTAAGTTTTAATAAATGTTATTCATACAAAGTGATAAATAACTAAGTAATTAAAACTATTGAAGAATCATTATCGTGTGAGAAGATTCTGAACAAAAAAAAATTAAAAATAACGCTTCCTCAAATGCAATGCTTCATCATACTACAATACTTTTTCATTTTAATTCAAGGCTTAACAATCGAATTAATGTCTGGCAAATTCATTTTTAGTTTTTCTTATATTTAAAGAACATAATATTAAAATTACAGACATTCTAAAATACTTTGAAATTTTTATTAAAAAAAAACTTAAAATCGCGTCTGGCACATAGTTAGCAATGTGAAAAATGTCTGGCAATAAAAAAAGTATGTCAGGTAGACTTATTTAAAAAGGAAAAATTAAAAATTGCGCTTCTTAAAATGCAACGCTTCATCATACTGCAATACTTTTTCATTTTAATTCAAGACTTAACAACCGAATTAATGTCTGGCAAATTCATTTTTAGTTTTTCTTATATTTAAAGAACATAATATTAAAATTACAGACATTCTAAAATACTTTGAAATTTTTATTAAAAAAAACTTAAAATCGCGTCTGGCACATAGTTAGCAATGTGAAAAATGTCTGGCAATATAAAAAGTATGTCAGGTAGACTTATTTAAAAGGAAAAATTAAAAATTACGCTTCTTAAAATGCTTTTAAAATCCAGGATATTACCTGGACAGATAGGATGCGCACTAAAGAACGCAACCGCTACCGCCAGCCAGATTGCCAAGACTCTAACCGAAAGTGCAAGAAGGAAGACATATCACAAAATCAGCTGACCTAAAATTCTTTCTCGAAAACGTTGCTACCTCCCGTACTTTAATCTAATTTTTAAATCCACAATGTTCCAACGAATATTAACAACAAAAGAATATTTTTTGTGGTATTGATGTTTTCTATAATTCTGTAGAATACTTTGCTTTATTGTTAATGGTTTCCGCAGCGATTTAGGCATTTTTATTTGTTATAGTAATTTTTAAAAACTTGTTTGAAAATATTCTATAGTCTATGCCAACCTGGATAGTGTAGCAACCCAACGGTGACATTTTTTACATCGGTCCAGTAGTTTGGAAGCATATTCAATGCAAACAAACAATCATAATATCATTCCTAATAAGATAGACTTGGCCGCGGCGCCACAATTTTCAGAAATGAATGCGTTCTTCTCCACTGAGACGTTTTCATCATTTACATTAAAGAAATAGCTTATATATTCATGAAACTTTGTTCAATAGTATAAATCAATGAACTGAGTGTTCTTTGACGAACAAGAATTGTGGAAAATGGATCGTTTGGGTGGCACAAATATGAGTGATTTTAAACTTTTTTTGTGACGGGATTCTCTAAATTCCTGGTACTATTAATATTACTATACATAAATTAATTCATTGGCAGTGTTGGCTGAGTGGCTTCAGCGTGTGACCCTCATCCTTGAGGTTGTAAGTTCGATCCCCGGCTGTGCACCTTTTTTTTTTTTTTTTTAACGTCAGGAAATGCTTTTACGCATATCCTTGCTGAATTTTACTCCAGCAGGGATTATGTGGGACTCAGACATAATATCTACAACCCTACCCACTAAAACCTGACGGATGCCTTCAGCTCGCCAAAGGGCGGAGGCAGGTAACAGCTGAGCCCTATCCTTACCCCCGCTAAACGCGAATGCCACAATACCACCATGACTCCTCCCACGAACAAATCTTCAGCATCTTAACTTAGGGCAGACGTGCGAAAGCACGGCGTCGCTGCCCCGGTCGTCGTTTTCTTACCGGCGGAGCATCAGAATTATTTTCACGCTGACGCTCCGCATTCTCTTTCTGACTCATGACGGCCTCACAAAAAGCCTTGAAGGCATTCCAAGGACCGTCATTGTAAGTTCGATCCCCGGCTGTGCACCTAGGCCAGCTCTGCTGACCATAAAATTGATTGCACAAAAAAGATAATTGTTTTTTAGACAATTGTTTGTAAATAATTTTTGGTTGACTACGTCTCTATTTAATAATCTTAGAACATCTTTTAACGATGCTAGTTAGTAAAGCGTATAATGATGGCGCGGTGAAATTAAAAAATTCTGTTATTTATTTATGAGTCTAGCTACACATATTATAAAAGAAAACGACTCATTGGTCTAGTGGTTAGTACCCCTGACTGCGAATCCATGGGTCTGGGGTTCGATCCCCGGCTGAGGCGAACATCGATGTGATGAGCATTTAGTGTTGTGCTTCCGTCTTGGGTGTTTAAATATGTATTTATATGTCTATCTATCTATAATATGTATGTTTATCCGTTGCCTAGTACCCATAACACGAGCTTCACCAGCTTAGCATGGGACTAGGTCAATTGGTGTGAATTATCTTAAAAAAAAAAACAATTAGATAACATACAAAACCAAATGTACCAAACAGAAAACATAAGTACATTAATAGATAAAAAAAAAGAACATTAAACTTTAAATTGAAATTAATTAAACATTAATATTTTAAAAAAATACAGTGTAAGTCTTCCCGCTGTCTAAGATATATCCTCGAACCCTCTTTAATATAATGGTATATTCGTAAATTGTACTGTAGTTTGAGTTTTACGAAGATAATATAAATAATAATAAACAATCAAGCGTGCCATCATGAAAATCAAAGGTGCCACAGACCCCAAACTTTTTTAATTTGTTTAAAAACGTATGAAATGAACTGAAGTTTATATAGAGAAAAATTCACAGCAAAACCTAAAAAGTTTTCATTCCGGAACAACAGTCTCTGGGGTAGCATAGCAAAATGTTCCAAATTGGTATGTACCTACTAAAAAGGTTAGTAAAATCACATAAAGGAGAAACGAAGTCCGCGGGGCAGCTAGTTTATGTATAAAATTAAATTCTCAACTCTCAAAAAAATTACTAAGCTATAAAAAAAAATCTAAAATAAATTCAAAGTGGTCACTGTGGCTTAAATGCTGGTATTTCCTTCCTCTTTCGTTGAAAAGCACCAGCTTTGGGGTCGCCGGTCGGAATACGGTCCAAGAGTCTCTCCAAAAAGAACAAAATCAAAGTTGTATAAA